TTGTTAATGTATTTTGTTAAAAATCAGATACCAGACCTTCCATTCATAGTGCTAAAGTTAAGTATCTATAAAGTCTATCACTATATCCTTGAGGGCTTCACAGTTTTTACATTATGTTGTCATCTCAGTTGAAGCTGGAAATGCAATTTCAATTAAGTAGCATATTTAAAGGGACAACAGTTATCAAATTAAATGCAGTCTTTATGGCTTCTATTGCATCTGGCAATAATTCATGACACTTGATAAGGGAGATGTGATGATAAGGATCCTTGGATGAGATGATTGATGGATGGATTGATCAATCAATTGATTGATTTTTCACAAACAATGATTTGATAATGTCACAAACAATGTTCCAGTACTGGGGAAAGGTAGCCAAAACAATCTGCTGAAATGGAATGGCCATCTGGTTGGCTGATCCATAATAATTTGCCTTGTGGATGTCTTCCTTTCCTTTCTCAGGAAAGTCTTTTTCTACAGCATACTATTGTGCAACAGCAGAGCTCATTCCTAGTTGCTTTTTCTCTGGTTGAAGTTATTAGTTTCCTTCAATTATAGCCTTACACAGAGAGAGCTTGAGAGATGGCAGAACTTCTTGTTCAGTAATGTCTGTGGTTTGGATTTAATTGAATCCAGTGTTTAAAAACAAAGTATTCATGCAGTTGGATTCAACAGCAACTCTTACTACTAAATCTTGCTTGATAATACCCTCTGTCTCCTAGAGATTTATATTACTTTTCAATATCTGTTACAGAAAAAATGTGACAGGAAAAGAATTAAATCTAAAAAGTCACATGTTTACTTATGTGATTGTATCATCATAGAATCATGGTGTCTCCATTGTGTCTTGTGTTGAAAAGATAGGTGTCTGCTAAGGAAGGCAGGACCCTCCCTTAAAATGGAAAATGTAAACCTCCTCCCTCCAAATTATTACTATTTTGAAATTAAAGGGCTCTCAGGCAAAGATATGGGAGTAGGAGTAACAGTTCTTTGTTAGGGAAGAAAATAAAAATAAAATAAACAATGCAGTAACACAAAACAACACTGACAGAGTCAGAATACCACCTGACACCCTGTGGGTCAGGGTCTTGGCAGCAGTCCCATTAAATGGTGGCTGCAGTCCTCCTGGAGTGACAGGTGAGGTTCTGTTGGAGCAGGGATCCTGTAGAAGGGTGGAGTTCTCCTCTGAAGGTCCAGTGGTGGTGTAGATGGGCCTGGTCTTCCTCTGGAAATCCAGTGGAAAAGGCTGCCTTGGTGTTCCAAATCTCAGATTATATCCAGGTAGGAATGCTTGGCTCCTCCCACTGGGCAGAGCATCTCACAACGGGATGATGTAATTTTATCAGTCATGCAGTGAAACTCAGTGGCCCATTAACAGAAGATATATCCCCAGAGGGAGGATGGGTCATGGAAGAGATAAAGAAAATGGCCCAATTAACAGAAGATAACCACCCCACCTCTAACAGATGGGAGTAGAATACATATGCCCACCCACATCGTGCAACCCAGGACTCACTGAGAGGAAGCTTTTTAGTTTCATGTTTGTTTTGGTACTATGGTACATGCCTATCTTTGGCCAGAATCCCAGTTAATAATTTGAACTAATGTCAGAATCATAATGTAGTTGTTACTTTTAAATATCACATATAGTTACTTTATGTTATCTTGATTGTGAAAGATCACATCACACACTGGAAGCCTTAATCTGTTAAGCAACAGCAGTTACTGATGAAATAAGTATGTGACATTTAGACTGTGTTTGGGATTATCTGTATATCTAATGTGTGGAATGGATGTTAAGACTTTGAGTTTTAAAACATACTGAACACCAAGTATTTAAAGAAAAATGTTGAGAAATTTAGTTGTATTTAGAGAAGTATGGGAATATATTCAAAGTGTCATCAGACAATATCGTTTGTGAAAGCTAAGAAATTAATTTCTACAATCAACAATAAGGTGGCAACTCAGCATCAAGTATTGCCTGAGGTTAAAAATAACTCATTTCCTCAGAAGAAAAGTGTTATGAGAGATGTTCTAATAAATATTCCCTTTATAGTCACAAAGGTTGCCACAGTAATCCTCACAGCTGGTGCAAAGAATATCTGGGAAAATCCATTGCTTTAATGCTGTACTGTTCCATAGAAGAAAGGTGCTATGTGCTTCATATACAAACAGAATGTGGACAGAATTGCACTCTCCAGTGTGAGATAATGCTCATATCCCCCAAATACCTGAAAAAGAAAGAAAAAAGAAAAGCTTTCTTGGAGTAGTAAAGGATATGTTCTCTGCTTTCCTTTCAGTAACATGCTTCTGTGTCACTAATAGATATTGAAAAGTTGTCCTCTTCTTAATTGTATCTTTATATCATTCTAATTATCAGTAAAGCTCTAAATCTGTCTCATATATAAAATTATTTTCTTCATTGAGTAGTTTACATGCAAATTCAGTAAAATTTCTTAAACATTTTTCTAACTTCTTGTATAGCAGCTACCTGTAGGGAATGGAATGTATTATGAAGCAGGTACAATCAGTCAAAGAATATAAACAGGTCTGACAGAATGAAAAGTTGTAGGTATCTAATGATACCAATAAAATAATTTCTATTAAAGATTCCAAGAATTTCAATTCCATGGTAATGCAAATTAGGAACTATGAAAACAATGACTTGGAACAGAAGCTTGGATCCTCTCCTTATTTGGAGCTCCCAAGCTGCTCACATCTACTTTAGTAGTTAGCTGCATGTGCCTTTTTGTTTCAGATTGTAAATTTACAGATGGGATTAAGAAAAATTACAATGGGAGAGAGGAATAATTAATAGTATATTCATAAAATACATCTGCATGAAGCCTATGAAGAGGAATTCTGTCTTCCTTCTATCATTCAAGTGTTTCCTTCCCGAATAGATAAATAATCTAAGATTATTTAACTTGGATTAAAATACTAAACAAGACTTTTTATACACAAAATTTGGTAGACATAAACAATTCCTCATACAGTGCCTTCTTGAGCTGAAGGCTATAATTTAAGTGTTTGATTTACAATCTGTATCATGAATCTGCTTTAGGCGTGGGTCAAGATACCATTTAAAACATTCTTATAGATCTACCAACTAGGCTCAGTGTTAGAGCCTTCTAGTTGTGGAGGTGGGGACTTAGGTATAAGAAATTAACTGGGGTAGCTTTATTAGCCACATTTTAAAAAAATTGAAATGCAAAAAAACTTTGCACAGTTTTGACTATAGTTTAAATATTGCATGTTTATCTGAAACAAACTGTTGTGGTAATTATTTGTTATTTGTCTCTGGAGCTCTTTCCTTGAGATATTGTATGCCTTAAATGTGACCATTATTTACTAAAGAAATTTTTTCAGAATGATAAATTGGACTGGGAATATATATATTTGTTTTCAAAACCTTTTAATTTACAGTACCTCTGTTGTATGCATGACAGCAGTAACTGTTTCTGTTGACCATTAAAGGAGGAAAGAATTTGGTAAGGTGGCTGGCTTTTGTCATCTTCCTGACAGTATAGTTTTAATTATGTTTACTTGTGTGACTAACCTAGAGTTGGTGATTCTATTAGAAATTGCTTCAGAATTGTTACTGAGATTTACTGGACATATAAAGTACATCCTGGCATGCAAAATACAGCAGAAGACACAGAAATTGTTCAGGAGACAATAGTCTGATTATTTCTGCAACAGGTAAAGTAAGATGCATCAGTAGTGGTGTTAATGTAGGGTCAAATCCAGCTGAAACTGGATTTATGGTCAATGTTTAATCTAGGACATGAATGATGTCATTAGAATCTAAGTCCTTGCCACATGTGCCTCCAGCTCAGGATCATGTCAATAGGAATGGGTTGTGTATGACCTGGGGATGTGGGAAGATGTCAGGTCTGCTTGGCAGCACAGCCTGATTTGAGGGTACTCCCATGTGGCTGACTGGATAGCTGACTGGATACAGAAGGTACAGCAGGAGGAAAACATCTTCATCACTAGGGTAATTCCAAAATCCAAGTCCTCTTCTTCAATTTTGTATTGTACTTTTTATTTGCTGAGTTTATTTTAATTTTCAAACTCTATCATCAAGGCTTTGGGGGCTTTTTACATTGTTTTAGAAGGGGAGGAAATGAGGAAATTCTAGCATGTACTACTTTTATAGAATTACTAGTAGCTATTCAGCAGAAAGCTGGCAATGCTGTTGATTTAAATATTTTGTGGTTGCAAAAGCTTGGTTTGAGTAAAGGAAGACTGGGAATTTGAGATGAGTTTCATTTCTTGCCTCAGACCAAACAATTTTTTTTCTTTTTTTTCTTTTTTTCGGTCTTAGATAGGAAGATAGAGACCTTCACAGTAATTAACCTTAACAAAAATTTGCTGTGATGGGAGCATGACAGCAACTACTGTGTTTTTTAAAACCTTGAGAATTAGGAAGATTTCTTCTACAAATATGTATATATTTGTGTGTCTTAGAGGGGCAAATCTACAGTAAACCAGACTTTTGGAGATTTAAAGTAACAGGACATTGTAAGCCTACAGCTATTAGGAATGTTTTGGATGTTCTTATATAGTGACTTATGTTCAGAAATATCAAAAACTACAAATTTTTTAAGGTGTTATCTGTGAATAGTTCTCATGGGTTCATTAGAGTGTGGCCATTGTTATAGGAACTGTCCATCTTGCCTCAAAAGACACCAAACATTTAGCCACAGATTTCACTGATGTGGTTATTACACAACCTGTATGATTGGTACTTGGGATAGTGAACATTACAATCATAATATAGGATGATTGCATGAGGTAACTGCCTTGTCAGCTGCAAGTGGTTAGGAGCAGAGCTATCTCTGCAACATTTACAATTTTTACTCTTTTTTTCTTCATTGCTGAGGCTCTTTGAGGAGCAACAAAACTCAGTATTTCAAGAGTGAGTTTTATGTAAAACTAAGGTGCATCTTTCATTATAATCTGGGGGGTTTTCTGTGTTTTTTTCCCTTTTTCAGGAGGATACAGATCATAATTATTATACATCAAGGACGTATGGCCCCTATGATTCTACCAGCCGGGATTTGTGGGTCAATATAGACCAAATGGAGAAGGACAAAGTAAAGATTCACGGGATCCTTTCCAATACCCATCGTCAAGCAGCAGTAAGTTATTTTATCATTTTCTTCTTTGACTAACATGGATATTTTTCCCCAGAGATCCACACAGGAGTATTACTATGTATCATGACTATTGTTCATAGAGCTATGTCTTTGAATTCTAGTTAAGCTGTGGAAGTCTTAACACTATTGTTATCAAGTGATTCTTTGAACTTTTTGAACATTCTGTAACAGTCCTTCAGAGACGCCTTTACAAGTATATCTAAAATTTTCTTCTGTTCCTAAAGATCACAAACTATCAAATGGTAAACCACTTCTGTTGCCAAAATCAGAGGGAATCTTGCTGTAGAGTTGAATAGTCAAAGAGCTAGGTTGAGGATGAAGTTGATGAAGTTTTAAGTCTCTCATGGAATGTATGTGGCATGTTTACATTTTGATTTTATATGAGGTTTCATTCTTATATTTCCTTTTGGGACAACTGATAAAGCTCATGAGAATGTCATATAGTAAAAGAAATTATGTGATCACAATTTTAGGTTATCAACAAATAAATAAACTGGAGTGTAAATAACAATCATATTTAACTTATAGTAGTCATGCTCCTTGTAAGGTGGGTATGAAAATAATGGCCTCACACACTTAGAAATGGAAGCAAATACCGTATGATTTAGAGATTGTATTCTCTATTCTCACCCGTGGCTAGAAGCTGAATACATAGAAGAGCCAATATTAGCATAAATTAAATTTAAAAAAATTACAGCTCAGAACTATGGTTGAAGAGACTCTTGTTTCAGCCATTCAGCAACTTAGACCCAAAAAAAAGTCCTTGGGCTTTGGCAGTTTAAAACAAAATCTAGTGAATGCCTTACTTAAAAGTTGTACAGTTTTTAAAGATGCAGATGTGTTTAACAGTTTTAAAGCTGAGAGAAAGCACAAGTTTAATTCATCTTTTCCTTAGTTAAACTGTTTTCTGGCACAAACTAGGTGATTGCTCAGAGGAATGCAAAAGGCAGCAGAAAGAAATACTGTGGTATTTAAGTCAGAATATAGAAAGCAGAGTGAGGTGATAAATCCAGCACATGTAACTGACAGAGAGTCCAATTCAAAAAATATATCCTTCATAGTTAAAAGAATGTAGGCAGTCAGGGATAATGCAAATGCAGAGGGTTCAGACAGTTATAGATCTTTGGGGTACACTTAATAAAACAGTGTATCAGCTATTTTCTTAAGACAATTTAATTCTAATGAGAAAAAAAGAACATCAAGGGTACCTTGAGGTAGTGAGAACCTCTGTTGTCTGTCTTGTCTACTTTATGTGGTATCCTGGTGCTCTGTGTTGAGGGAAAAATGGAAATATGCTGAAAGAAAAGCTAATGTATAAATTAAAAATTTTAACACGTCTAATGATTAGTAAAGATGACACTCTTCCATGTCTTTGTTGTAAGCACTTTTGTTTCCAATTGGATCCCTGAGATTGTGCAGCTAAATTGTCCATCCCAAGGGGGACATTTTGTTGAAGTTATTAAATTAGAGGCTTGAACAAGGCTGTATTTTTGGTCTGGTGTGGGGTCAGGGTAGAGGACCATTAAGCATGACAAATGGAAGCTTGAGGTCTTCAACTGTTTCTCATAAAAGCAAGTGGTTTAAGACCTTTCTTCTGAATGTCAGATGCCCCCTCTGCCTTTCTTCCGGCTCCAGCAGAGAAGGCTCTGGTCCCTGTTTAGCACACTGATATCCATCTCTTTTCATGCCTACCCAAATATCTTGGACAATGAACTAGAGTGGCTGCATCCATATCTACATAGAGTTTTAAAGACCCCTTTTTCAGATCTGTTTCATGTCCCCCCAAAGGATTAAAAAGTACCAGAGTAATTCTGTAAGGTTTTATTCCTTATTTTTGCATCTATAATTGATTTTTTGTATGTGTGTGTCCAAGTAAACAACATCCATACGTACTACACAACAAAGTTGTTTAACAGAGAGATGTGATTTTTATAGCTGTACAACTGCAGAGTCATATATTTTGAGATCATACATACCTCAGCAGCAATCTCTTACCTTCTCTCCTATAAGCCTTTTCATTACTCTTTTTAAAAGACCATTTTGCACATCTTGCACTCAATCATTTACATTATATTTTCTAAATATTATTCTCCACTTTGACAATAGAACCAGGACTTAAATTATCACATGCTAAATATTAAGGAATTAATTTACAATGTCAGAGATTCTTCGAATGCTGACAATTTTACACTCACTTTGTGTTTTTTCCTTCATTTGTAAGTAAATAATCCTGAGAATTCCCAGAAGCTGTAAGTTTGTTTTGCTTCTACAAGAAAAGTCATAAGGACTGGAGAGAATCCAGGAGAGGATTCATGAGATGGTTTGATTTTATAAACAGCACAGTATTTTTTGTGGATATATTAATGGAACAATAAAAATGTCTAACAGTACAGGATTTATAACACTAGTAGTAGAGGTGGTTTTTTTTCAATATATTGCTACCATCTTCTTAATCATATAATAAAATTTTAGAGGTGGCTTTGATATTCAGTGGGTTTAAATTAGATATCTAAGAGCTGATTACTCAAACACTGAACTAGAATACAGGATATGTCACACTTGGGATGACAACTCTCTTTTCTCCCAGTCCATTCTCTCACTTATGCATGGAGAGAACATTTTTTATTTCAGTGAATTGAAAATTCTGATATTCTTTGTTTAAAATGAGGTATGCTTTCTAGCATCAAAATAAAATCAAAATTTTAGTGACTGTTAGAATATTGTGTTTCAAAATAATACTTAAATCATGTTGGTTATTACAGTATTGTGCTAAAAAATTGGCTATGTTAAACATTTTTACATTGTCAGAATTTAAGGTATCACATTTTGACTTAAGTCAGTGAGAGATCTATATCAGACTTGAGTGGAAATGGGACCAAGTTTTTGTTGCAAACATCTTTATACTAATGTTTATATTATAGCCATTTAGAAGACAGATTGGGGGCACAGTTTTCATTTGAAGTAGTTCAATGGTTACTTTGATTGAAAGTGAAAAGGTAAAATGGAGGATGGCATATAAAGGAAAGAGGGAAAGTTTGGTCAAAATATTGGTAGTTTCAACAGAGTTCTTCAAATTATGTTTAGTAGAGCAAGGACATAATTTAAATGGAGTGCACTCATAGATGTAGTGTACACTTCAGCAGTGAAAGCTGTAGAACATGGTGAAATAATATTTGTGTGAGTTAATTCATGTGCTGTCTTTTGCATATGCCATTTTTGATTAGAAATGTTCAGTTGTACATCCATATTTATGTATATACAGAAAAGGTCATTAGAACCTACTCAGTCCAATTAACACATTGCAAATGGATTTTGCATTCTAATTAAAAACAAACAAACAAAAAAGTGCTAATAAATCCTGGCATAATTCTGTCTTCCATTTAAATGGAAAGCAAATCTTTCCATCCCCTTCCAAACACTGAAAGTTACTGTAAGTCTTCAAGTGCTAATTTCATGCTAAATAATTCTTTAAACATTTCTCGGTGATGTAAATATAATTCTTCCTAGAGAAGATGTACTTGGATACAATCTGAAAATAACAAATACAGAACAGAAATAATGGGAGGGAATACAAAGACATGAGTACTTTTCTTCTTCCTTCCCCTCCACTTTTTCAAAATGTTTGGGCTGTTGCCATTTCTTAAGTGGAGTCATCAAAAGTTACAGTTGAGGGACAGTCACCAACGAGTCATCTTCACACCAGTTTTTACTGCAGTAAATCCTCCAAAAGAAGGAATGAATGCTCATTTCATATTTACTGTTTGGACCATTGTGGAAGAGATGTGTTTTTCACAGGATATTACATTTAAACAGTGAAAAGACCATGCTGAGATTTCAGCACTCCTTTCTGCCATGACCACTAATTTATCCAGAGCTTAACCAGGTAGTACACAAGGTGATAATTATGAGTGGCCACAATAATAATTGAGCTTTGGGAACAGAATGGAATAGATGAAAAAGATAAAGCCATAGGCAGAGAGGAAAAATGAGTTTGAATTTGAATGTTGCTTTATAGTGAGCTTAGTTGAGAAGAGTTCATTCTCCAAATTACAATTCTCTGCTATGAATTCAGCTGATAGAGGATAGTCACCTGTAGGTAGATGGAGAAAAAAAAAAAGGTTATTTTAAAAATTTTATTTTTATATTTTATTTTTCAGTAAGTAGGTTAAGTAGAGTTTATTGTTGCTTCTGTTGAATATTTCTTTATTCCATCTCCTAGCTGACAGTATAGAGAGTTTTAGGGATTGGTGTCATGGGTTTGATGGAGGAATTGCCTTCCAGTGACCAGCCTTCATCAGACAAGCTCCCAGGCAGCAGCAGGATGTCAGAGACAGCACTTCAGTCTGAAGGCTCGTGTGGCAGAGCAGCAGAAAGCCAGCAGCCAAAGTAGGAGGCATTCTGTAAAACATAGGTATTGCTAAGGCCTTTGGTATTGATGGGTCCTTTTATGAAAGAGGTTAAAGCAACCGTTTTTTAAGGAGAAACTCTACAAATCTTTTATTAATTTGATTCTTGTGATTGAGTTACAATGTCTGTTCATGTATTTTCTTTTCTGAACTTTGCTGTTATAATGATCCACTGTTTTAAGTATTTAAGTGCTCCTTAGAATTCTTTCCTGTTAGCTACTGGGAATTCCAAATTAAGAATAACAAGGCTCCAGTGAGAAACAAAAAAAGGCAATGAAAGAGATATTTGAAGTGGATGACTGTTTGTCTTTTTTTCTCTTAATGTTCTGCTCAATATTGATTTTATTTTCTGCTGTTACTCATTTCAGAGAGTGAACCTGTCCTTTGATTTTCCATTTTACGGACATTTTCTACGTGAAATTACTGTGGCAACTGGGGGTAAGTAGCTTTCTAACCATTTACTTTGAGTAAGATGAGAAGAGTTTCTTGCAGCTGTTTGAAACATTTTTTATCCCTGCTTGTATATGTCAAGAGATAAACTGCAGCTTTTATTTAGGAAATTTTCCTGTCCACAAAAAGAAAATCACAAAATATCAATGTGATGAAAAACTTCCAGCATTTAAGTTGAACTGTTATAAACCCATCTCATTGTAAGACTTTACAGCATTAATCCTTTTCTGTTTAGATATTTACCCCAGAACTCAGGAGTATGTGTGTTTAGCAGTTGCACTGGAGGTGAGAGTGCTGGAGCCAGAAGCAGGGGGGAGACAGGGTTTGCTTGCACAAGGGGAGAGGATTTCCTGCCCAAAGATCAGAAGTGCTGCTAGAAGTATGGTATGTGTCACCTGTAAGGCAAACCCATCTCAGAGCATTGTCACGGTGTGGTGCAGCCTCTGAAAATGTTCCATCCCCCCTCTTTCCATGAGAGGAGTGTGGTGAGAAGGGAGGTAGAGCCCGCTCAAGCTCCCAGCCTGGCAGCTCTGGGCAGCAATGATGGCTCACAGTTGGGGCTCTCCCTCACACTGCTGCTGGCTGCTGTTTGCACCAATCTCCTGTGCTGGGAACAGCCATCAACTCCTTCTGTTCCCTTCCCAACTCCAACTCCTTGAAAGACAATTTGATTTTAATAACATGAGGAAAAGGAGATGATGTGGAAGACAACAAGTGAGAAAAAGAAGGAGAAGTAATAGTAAAAAATTGAAAACAGGGAGGCAAAAGGCAGCATCATGGAGAGCACGCCCAGAGGATCCTCTGGTCCTTGAACATGTTCAGCAAGTTCATGGACCCTGGCTGGTGGTGCTCAGCCTAGAGATGTGGCAGGACAAGCAGGCAGAAATAGGAGCCACCATCATCAGGAACAATTCCACCTGTCCCTGATCAAAGTTTCTCCTTCTCTTGCTATGGGGTCCAGATGGACATGATCAGGGGATATCCGTGTCCCACTGGAGTTCCAAATGGGGAGGTTATGACAAAAAGAGCGGGATAGAATTGCAGACAGTGTCTCAACAAGAGTGTGAACTGTAACAGAGATTCCTGTCATGCTCCCCATCAGGATCTCCATTTTGCTACAAAAGCAGAATACAAGTGTTGGACAAAGGTAAATAAAGGCTGATATTAAAGTGATTTGCAGTAGAATGATAAAAAAGAATACAGAATTATGAAGTGACTTCAGTATCTGTTCTCTCTTCTTGATCAGCAATAACATTTTGATGCTGAATTGGATAAGACGAGCCAAGAAACACTGTTTTTGAGATTTTTCTGATTTCCATTCTGCTATGCTGTTAGTTTCATTTTGGTGCTTGATCATCAATGCCTAGCTCTGTATTTTTTATTAGAGGAGTTGTTTCTGACGGGTTGCCAAAATCAAGCAGGCTCTATCCCATCTTTTCGTGCTACACGAATCACGTGTAGCACGAAAAGATGGGATAGAGCCTGCAAAGCTAAAACAGCAGTGGTGGGAGCAGGGTTCATCCTCTAAATTTCCCCTTATTCTTACTACTGTGCTTGGTTCATTAAAATTTCACAAAGTTCACTCTCTTCAAGTAATTTTTTGTGTGGTCATTCTGCTGAGCCTTCTCATTTAAAATTTAAATTAATTAAAAATTTAAAATATCTGAATTTAAATTTAAAATATCTGAATTTTTACTACTTTTACCACTTTCACTAATCTATTGCTCTGACCAGTTTCTCCAGTAGACCCAAAAGACCTGGAATAAAAGTTAATCTCATGAAGTGAACTATGTAGTAGCAATTTGTGAGGTACATATTTTTTTCCTTTTGATACAGAGTAAATGAGGAATTTAAGTGGTTTTGTCTTTTGTTTTCTTTTAAAAAAAAAGTCAGAATATAGAAATGACTGCAGCTCTGCAGGATTCTTTTCTCTTGCTATTAATGGAACACTGGCTGCTAATTATGCTTTGCTTTTTACTCCATTTGGACTAAATAAAATATTATTGCTGTAAATAGATCTAGGGATTATTGTCAAGCTAAATACGACTTTAAAATCAGTCCTTTGAATGTACACCATTGACATTAGCACAGAGATATTTTTGTCTTCCATGGGCATTTCCATGATTTTTCCACCTCAAAATTAAGCATGAAAAAGATCTAGTTAATAACAGATTTTAAAATGTTGTCTTGATAAAGCTCAGTAACTGTAAATCTTTCTGTCAGGATGCAACCTTTATTACAACTATAGGGCTCCTAAATTCATCTAGCAGGAAAATAAAGGTTTATTTCTGTACTAACTCTCTAAAAGTGTTATAATTTAGATATATTTGCAAATTTTGTTGCTAGGCTAAGCATCACACTTCACCACCAATGATTTATAATAACAGAAGATGAATACATGTTCCACATGCTTCATATACTCTATGGTCTGCTATTTCTTAGTAACCAAGATTTTACAATGGCATTACTGTTATTAGAGACCTGGAATACCTCCAGAGGTTATTCTGACATCAAAAGAATGACAAAGTTAATGTGTACAGAACTCCCACATGACAGATGTCCACTTCCTGGAGAGTGGGATATTATTAATTATGCTAATGGCAACACTAAAAATGTTTTTTACATACAAATCATAAATTAAATAGCCTTCTTAAAAGGGAAGTCAAGGACAATGGCACAATAAATCCCTGTCACAATAAAAACATCAACCCCAATGGTTTCTGCTATTCTTCACGGAGTGTGCACTGTGGCATAACAGGGTTTCCAAAATGGTTAGGATGATTTTGGAATCTCTGTGTTTTAAAACTCAACTTTTTTTTCTCTTTAGCTAATAGTTATTTCTTCCTCTGAATAGTTTTGATGACCTGATTGTGTTTAAGAAAAGGAAGAATGGGTAGTGAAAATAAATAGTTTGAGGGTTTTATTCACTGTTGTCTTAGCTTGTATTTGAAAATATTATTTATTCTTTTATAAATTATACATTAGAATTAAAATAATTATTAACAAAATTCGTAATTGGTTCTTTGCTATACAGACATGTCTCTGCCCACATTTCTATAGATAGTTCTCAAACAAGCTGAATTTTGGTTTTTGTGAAGCTTTTTGAAGTTTGTAGCCTACAGGACAAAAATGTGAGAATTTTGTAAAAAGAAAAAACTTGTGAGATAGCGAGTCATATTGTGCATGCCAGGAGCTACATATGTGAAATCTGCTTGTTGCCAGGCACTGATGCCCCTCACAGAGCTCAGTGGAGCTGGGAAAACCCTCTCTTGTGATGCATCTCTCCATGTAGTACCATAACCCTTCTCAAGGGCATCCTTGAAGCTCTGTGCCCCACATCCTACTCAACATTCTGCAAACTTCATTGCTGGCTGTATTAATTTTCCACGTTCATTGTAGTAAGCCACTCTTGTATATTCTCTGTGAGGTTTTTGTTTGTTTGTTTTGTTTATCAGTCTCTAATTTTTAGTGCAATTTTATATCAGATACTGTAAGTTATTTAGGTGGGAGTTTTTGTGGCATTGTTCGTTGACATTAAATTTCTCTGTGGTATTGCAGGGAGAAGGAAAAGCCTTGCTGTGCAAGCACTGCCCAGCATTAAGGAAACATAACAATAACAGTGGAAATTGAAGTGACTAGGTGGTTACATTTTTAGATTTATAATGCTGAATATTGACACATATTGCAGCTAGCATGAATAAGGTTCCAGAAATGTCCAGTTACCCTATAACAGCAAATTGCTGAAGTTGAAGCAAACAGCTGAATTTTTAAATATTGTATTAAATTCTGGTGAGATAATATTTGGTGAATCATCTTTCACTAGAGGAATATTCCAGATGGAGAAATTGTCTGAAATAATTCTGAGGATGTTGCCTGAGCATTTCTGCCACTGTCAATCGAAGGAGTACCAAACAAAGAAATAAAAAGCCATCCTAGCAGTAAATTCTAGTGTAAACAAATCACAGTTGATAATTTTCTAAAACAGAAATCAAGAACTCTTTGTATGATTTTTACTTCCTAAGGCTAGATCTCATGCTTAAAAATACTTGTATTTATGGAAGAAAGAGATCTTTGTGCATCAAAGATTCACACAGCTTTTCATCAAAACTACAACAGTCCTGTGCTCTATTGGCACAAGGTAAGAACACAAGCGTTGAAAATACTGAACAATTTTCCTGCTGAAACCTGATGTTATTGGATCTTGCATTGAGGAGTAGCTGTGAGGTACCTGAGCATGGTTCCTAAACCCTGACTAGTCAGGACAATTGATTCAAAGTAATCTTTCATTCTCATGAGGAATCGCTCTTATTTCAGTATCAAATTCTTTTTAAGTGTACATATGTGGGAAAGTAGCAAAGGCAAAATATCTCTGGTTAGCGAGCTAGTTGGTTAGCTACTTAAAAGCTGAAGTTCTATAGAGAGATAACACTTTAAGTTTTGAATTTGGACATTGAATGTGCATATGCCGTTATGGAATTCTGTTCAATGTTTTCAATGTAGCAAGGAAGGATATGAAAAATAAGTACCAAAGTGTGGAGAATTCTAATACAATTGCAACACATTTTTCAGTACTTTCAAGGAAGAGGGATCAGTGATAGAGAGTATGCTGTGGGGAAGGAATAAAGCCTGATGTTGCACTGTCTCAGCCCTATCTTTCTGTGTTGGCAATATCTCTGAGCAATACCTCTGAGCAGGAGGGAAATTTGTCCACCTAGCTGGTGGTGCTACGGAAAGAGAAGGGACCACGGGGTCAGGACCTGAGCTTGTTAAGGGTGAGGATGGCTGTGCATCTGCAGCCTGCAGAAAGTCTATTCTAATGAATTATTTACTTTGCATCTCATGCATTTATTTTCTTAAATTTCCAAATCAGTGTGTAGGTAGAGTGAAATTTACCTGTTTCTTTGAATTATCAGAGTCCTGACTGGAACATTTTGTTGGAGTCTGTCAGAAATTTCAGCAAGGTTTTTCTGGCTGTTCCTGCTGCTCTG